CTTGGTATTTATTGCTCTTGGATAAAATTTAATAAATATGTGTTTTAGCATTTATCGAAATTCATCCTATAAGGGGGTAAAATAGGGGATGACAATTTGTATGAAACTACCTTTTTAGATATATTTTTGTAGTTTTAGCGCGAGCTAAGCCGCGAGTTCTGCTAACTTACAATAATTCTATAATGTTGAAGTAGTCTGGAGATGATCACTTGATTCCAAAGTCTTGCAAATACATAAAATAATAGTACATCTATGACTTCATTACGTTTGTGAAATATTTTCAGGTGTTAAAATAATATTAGAGAAAGAAACTCAGATATAAGAAAAAAACAACTAAACAATCTTATCTCGTATTAGAAAGTCTGGGCATATAATTTACCAATAAAAAGTTTATCTTACAGGGATTATAAATATATTTGTAGTTAATGTCTTCGATGCCTTTGAGGTAGCTGATAAATTGATTAAAGTCATTAGCTATGTTATTTAAATAGTCAATGAAATTGAACATAATCTTAACGACATAGATACGAATAGCTTGTAGTAAACGTACAGAAGCTTTTTATTAAATTTGTTGTGTTTTACAATGTAGCATTAAAAGTTTCTTTGAAGTACTTTTTCAGTTAAAATATATATAATATAAGTACACTAAATTATGCCCACGGCTCCGCTCGCGCCTAAAGCTCGGGTGTACAGTCTTCTCCGTTACGTCTTTCCTCAATAAATAGGCTATGTATATGTGTGTATTCAGCGCTTTTTAACGTCCCACTGCTGGGCACAGGCCTCCCTTCAATACGAGGGGGATCAGGCCATAGTCCACCACGCTGGCCAAGTGCAGGTTGGCGGACTTCACATGTCTTTCGAAAACTTGCTAAGTTCTCTAAAACATGCAGGTTTCCTCACGATGTTTTACTTCACCGTTAAGACAATACGCTATAAATTGAGAAAAAAAATCAAATTGGACCTGAGATTAGCGCGTTTAAACAAACAAATAATAACTTAAAACGTAGAAGTTTTACAATATGAGTATAGATATCCAAATTAAACCACAACTTACCTAGCGTTGCTTTGTCGAGAAAAATGGGAGTTGTTTATGAATTATATCCGTTTTATAGCATTTTCACGCGATATTTTGAAACACTCACGTGGAGTAAAACACGTGTTACGTCCGACGAATACTGTAACGTGATATTTAAAGAATATTACTTTTAATCATAGAATAAGCTATAGATACTTCATATTGAAACAATACACATCTTCAAACGATAGGTTCTTCTTAAGACCTAATCACAACGAAAAAAAATTAGAAGCTTTTTATACCAGAAAGGTTATTTAATATCTACATCTTAATTAAGTACTGAAATTAATTTTAACGATTATTTTAAAATTAAAAAAAAGAAGAGAATTCTACTTAGTTAGAATTAAGAACATTGTCCAGTTACCACGGTATTTGTTGACAATTTTTATTTTAATGCCTAAACGCAGTAATTCAATAAAACAAATACTCGTATTACCGTTTAATTACCTACATCCGACGTAATACCGAATCGAAGGTAGGTATGCAAAATAAAATAAATTATACACATTTATGGATCAAACATCCCGGATGCATGAAAATAGTATAATATTATCAACATAAATTTTAAAATTAATATCAAATACATATGTACATATTTATAAACATTTATATAATAGTAGCGTCTCACCCTCGCTTCGTTCGGGTTCGTTCCTAGGTGTGTTTTAGTTAGTATGAAATAGATAGACTAAATATTATATACATAGGTTTGATGAGTGGTTGTGGGTTATATTATAACGGGATTTCCGGTGATAATTAGATAATCTCCCGCGGTAAAAAGTAGCCTATGTCACTCTCCAGCCCTCCAACTATCTCCATACAAAAAAACACGCCAATCCGTCCCTCTGTTTCGACGTGAAAGAAGGACAGACAAAGAAAGAAAGAAACAAACGCTTTCACATGTATAATATTAAAGAATTGATATCCTGTATGTGATATTCAGAGAGGAAGTACCTAAAGACTCACTGTCTTTCTTTATTGCCGCTGAAACTATGTTGGACTGTGGTCTTTTAGCCATTATTAAATAGAATATATAATTATTTCAACCTCTGACTTTTAAGCTCGTGAATTTAATATGGAATTGCGGTATTAAACGTAAATCAGTAAGTAACTACACATTAATGTCAGTCTTCGCTTTTTTCTGTCGCGATGCTTGAAGCATTACGCCACTGGGAAATCCCACATATTCGTCTACCTTATATGAGATTCTGAATTTTTTGTTTAGAATATGTGCATAGTTAATTGGAGTTATTATTTATCATATAAATAAGTAAACTATATTTTCTGTTACAATCAAATTACTTCACTACAATAAACCTCGATACTTTTTTAACTAATTATAAATTAGCTAAGTGTAATTAAACATTTAATTTTGGATTATCATATTTGTAACAAATAAAATTATTCAAAATTTACAAAAATAAAATGAATATTTGCAATAATTCGGGTTAGTGACGCTACTAAGTACTGAATAATATAAGTATAAACAAATATTAGAATTTTTAAAAAGTGCAGCAATGCAATTTTTTTACAGGCGAAGACCATAAACTTAACAGCCTTGCAATTATTACAAAAATGTACCAAAAAAAAACAATTACAATAATCATCCAGCAATAAACTGTACAGCCACATGTCATGACGTCAACGCTTGGTCCACAGATGTGGAACCGCCAGATGTCGGCAACTCATAATAGTTGCACTGTCTGTTTGACATCTGTATCGACTTGTAAAAAGTAAAGGGTGACTTCTGTGCCTCCGAAATATGATTGAACGATATTTTTTTAACTCTTTAATGATCTACTTGTCAGGTAAGCGTTTGTAGAAAAAATACTAATACTATTGTTTGTGTAGTACAATTATAGGCGTTACAGATAAACGAGTGATTATTTTGATTCTAAAAGTCTGATTGGAGATAAGATCTATGTCATAGATTAAAAAATATAATGTATAATACGGACATATTTCTTTTACGTTGGTACAAATTACAAGAATGCGATGATAGTGATCTTTATCGAACAACCATTTTTATTATTTAACTTGTGGTAAGTCTTGTGGGATTTTTTTTAAATATTTTACAAACTTAAATCTATATTTTAAGTACCTACACACTACATAACACAACATAAACTATTTCTTTATTCTATATTTGTGTTTGCGGAACAGTTGGCTACACTAACGACCTATTTCAAAAAAAAAATAAACTTTGACTTTAAATCTCACACGACCCCCGCTATGCGACATGTGAACAAACAAATTATCTTTTAAAACTAAAACGACTCTACCTCTTTGCAATAGAAACCATTATTGTGAGTTTAGTAATGAGTATAAATTAGTAGTGAAATACACTTGTTTTACTCAATGGGGTTTTCACCCTCGCAACATGTGCATAGGATTTTTTGTAACACCCCTTCTATTTTAGCGTGATAAATAAATTGTTATCGATTAATATTTTAACGGAGTCTTTACTATGTTTTTATTATAATTCTTAAGCTAATTGGTTGGATTTTTTTACTGTAAAGACACAATAAAAAATCTTTTACAAGCTAATATTTTATAAAAGTTTAAATATATTTGCATTCAACGTATTATTCTAGTGGCAATATTTATTAAATATTATAAATGTGAAAGTTTGTGACGATGGACGGATGGATGTTTGCGCCAGAACGGCTGAACAGATCTGGCTGAAATATGGCACAGAGATAGATTATAATAGTCTGAAATAACACAGGTTACTTTTTATCCCGGAAAAATGTACGTTTCTTGCGGGATAGATTTGTTTTTGTTTTTCACTAGGGACGAACCCGAAACGAAGCGAGGGTGAGTCGCTAGTGTATTAATATAGGTAATATTAACCTAAAAGAAGAGACTAGAGGCAAATGGAATATTATTATGATCATTGCCTCTTGTAAAAGAACAATAGTGATCAGTACATTCATTGTTATATTTATTCTTAAACTTAAATTTATTTTGTACCAAAGTTTTAAATTTTTTAATCTTTACTAACTGATGTAGGTATAATATAATTTGCTATAGAAATAAAGCGAGTCCTATTACAGCAATGTTTATTTACGAGGTGCCTAATAGGGAATGAATTAGTCACTCCTGAACATATCGGCTTCCGGCGTACAAATTACAGAATATTACACCCACTTATGAATATCGTACTTGACTTCTAATAGCTTAATTCTATATCGAGGATCAAAGATGTAATTTCATACTGTGTTTGGATTGTTATAAAGGTACGTTGTATTGTAAGACTGCAAATTATTTGACTACTATATATTATTATAATTGCGATTTGTGTGTACGTTTGTTACTTGTTCACGCTGCAACGCCTGGACAGATTTAGATGAAATTTAGTAAGTATACAGAGTATGACCTGGAGTAGCACATAGGGTTTGAACCCTAAGAACGGACTCGAGCGAAGCAAGGTTAAGTCGCTAGTAAATCAAATATAGTTTGAACTTATTTAGTACTCATTTATAATACTAGGTTACCTAATTAAAAATTTATATTCTATAAAAATGTAATACAGATATAATTATTATTATTTTACAAATTAAATAATAGATTGATCTGAGTAATAAATTTAATCAAAATTGTAACTATCTATTTCATGATTTTATGTAATACAATCTATACCTATTACCTATTAGGTGAATATATAAGTATTGTGTCACATTTTAAAGAAATAATTGCGATAGTAAGTAAATAAAAGTAATATTAGATAATACATATTATATAGTACGTAACTCGGATAAAAGTTTGTTTTTACTTTTTGATTAATTGATAAATAACTTAAAATTTATTCGTTATAATAGTTTGAGAATATATTTTAATATGCAATAATATGACTAATATAAAAGTTATTTAAAAATGCATAAAACCAAAATAATCAAAAACGTTAAAAATTGAACAAAACTTTTACCTTTCACGTTAGCTGAGTTTTCTGTATTAACAAATGTATTTGTTGACATTTTTCATTCAAATCCAAGTTAATAATCCTTAAGAATAACACTGGCACGATTTCACAGTTTCATTCAAAACACACGAATGTCATCATAGCGTGAGGAAACACAACCTCCGTCATCGATGGTCTGCACTCGACTAGCGCCAGGAACTCTTGGACGAGGCGGGGTAAAAAAGCGCGGCGCCAACCCAGTCTCGCCCTTAGAGATGCACCCGATTACTCGGAATGTATCGAATAATCGAAAATAGAATGCATATTATAACGTTAAATTGCAAATTTAATATGTGTGTATACAAATTACGAGTTTAAAAATAAGATTTCAGATTTTTTTTATACCAGAACAGAAAATTTCCAAATTGTTTGTTCGGTTGACTATTATAATTTTTACTAACTTTTACAAGAATTAATAAATTCCCACATATTATATAAAAAAAAAACTTCATATTTTACTATGTTATAAGTGTCTCGGGTAGCAGCCTAATGTGGTTTAAATATCTCATATACAAATCTCTTTAAGCATTCGACCAAATGTTATTTTAAAGTAATCTTAAAAATTAACGAGTAATTCATTCTTTTATCGATAAATCGCAACACTGGCGCGCCAGCCGGTCGCATATTCTGGCCGGCGGGGCGGCGACTCGAGGATAGCTCTGATGCTAACATTTGTTCCAACTTGCAGCTATTTCCATGTCCACATGTGCAAGTCCGTGACTCACGCACAAACGCATTACGATACTTTACGATCGTTTATTCGCACCGCGTAACGACAACGCTCCCGCATTTGGTTCGAATTAGAATTTAATGCCCATCTAATTGTTGTGCTCTCACATATTAATGTTGGATGTAATGAATGCGTTATGCTATTGCCAAGGTTTATTGAAAGAATTATTATTATGAAATAATACGCGTGTTATTACAGTGATTATTTCTTGACTTTATCATTTTCCTTATTGTTTTTATCTACACTATAATTACAGGTACAGAAACAGTTTGGTAAGTTTGTGTTCAAGAAGGAAAAATCCGGAATCCAGATCCAATTATTATTTTTTTCTGTTACAGGTAATGATATAGGTATAAAATTCTCGTGTGACTTATTTTTATTATAGTATAGAAACTGTATGTCATAGGTCATAGGATTTTCAAAATTTATAGAAGGACAATAAAGGACAATAAATGGTGTGAAAAATTGTTGCTAGTGAATTATAAATAAAATAAAATAAAATAGCCTTTAATTTCTGAAATATGTATAATGAGATTATATACTCACACATGCAAATATTTTTTTTACATAGATGACATATTATCCTTAAATGAATATACTTATCAATTATTAAATAACAAAAATTAATATATTTCATAAATAAAGTGATAATATAATAATAGTAGCCCTAATTTTATTTGAAATATTGTATGTTTATAGAATATTCTTAGCTTCTTTTTTTTTGTTATTTAGAATGCATGCTATGATTATAAATATATTGTTAGTAGCGTGTCAATAAAAACTGAGTATAATATTTTTTATAATGCTAACTAGATTTATGCGTATAACTTAGATTAACAATTTTGAATATTTATAACTTAAAATTTAAATAACCATACATAAAAACAAAAAATCCTTCAACTGTTATTAGATTAATTCCAATTATGCATATATATTAATTATGTTTATATGTATGATTAGAGAATTATACATAATTACTATAATACAATTACATTTAGATAAAAGAGTAAAACAATAATTGTAGACTTCATCATAATATTTAAAAGTAACATATTAACATTCGATGAAGATAATATATGCAAGTCACTTATCTGTATGTTACAATCAATTATAAAAATACACTTCAGCAAATTTTTTATTTTAGAAACAATAAAAAACTGTATAAATTAATTATGTAACTGATATATTTTGAAGTAAATAATAGGATGTGTTAAAACGTCTTTCTCTTATGGTAGGGCATAATTTTTTTCCCAGCATGTCCGTGATTTCTCCAGCGCCAGATTTGCAGTCGTGCGGTGGCGGCATCCCCTTTAACATCTCTTAACGCATCCAGATTTGGCAACGCTGATACGAAATCCTGTTCCGTCGACTTTTTGTTCGGACATTTCCTCAGATTCGAGGAACGGCTTGCAAAAAAACCAAATTTCGCCTCCAGCCGCTTATACAGGTTTTGTCATGAATTTTTATGGGCTCAAACAGGGTAACAACATTAAATCGAATCATAAGCGTAACGAAAATAAATATACTTCTTTCATTTGACCAATTTCAATGACATGACAGTATATCATTCATTTAAATTTCTATTTCTTGAACTTTCCAGTGACATAAACCTAAATTTTAAATAATAAAATGAATAAAAAGTGCGACGTTTCAGTAAAAAGATTAACTTATAAGTAATCATGAAATAGTGTATTTATTGCTCTGCACTCTTATTTCATGATCCTCAATTAAATTGGTCTTCTTAAATAAAGCTTATTTTTTATAAACGACTCGTACGTGTCAATCTCGAGAATTAATCCCACAATATTGAAACAGAAATTTGAGTAGCGGCCTCATTGCGAGGTGTGAAGGGATAACTCCCAAACATAATATGCCTGAGATAGTAAATATTCGGTCCAGTATAAACTTGTCCTGTGTAGGCGTGAAACGGTCAGGTAAGGCTTTTGACACCTAGCTCTGACCGAATGGCGTGAATATCGGCGCGCTATGTTTAACATGTAGTTTTTTGGATATTTAATGAATCCCTCGAAGAAATTTCGGCCTCTCAGTAATAAGGTGAATGAAATTTTATTATTTACTTACACCATTCTTCACTTAACGCTATTGTTGAAAGGTATACAAACAGTGTAGGTAACTGAAAATTAAAACTAAGATTTTTTTATGTTAATGCTACCTTTTCACATTACAAAACAAAGTATATCATTGCTGAAGCGAATTGATAGAGTTACACTAAGATAAATAGGTCCAGGTAGCCTATCGTATATAGCATCAAATAAACTCATCATAGTTTATAATAGATACGTTAGTGTCATGTCAAACTGTTGATTATTTGTCTCAACTTTCATCTTTTTTAAACAAGTTGTAACCTTATAGCCCTTTAGATTAAATCAATCTTCAAAACAGTAAATCTGTGCATGACTTTGATCTTTTATAATTCAGATCAAGCTTAGATAACTTTTCATTACAGATAAATTTAATATAATACGAAAACCTCACGCTTCCTAAAAAGTAGCTTTCTTTTTCTTAGCGTTCGGAATTCAAAATCAAGAAATGAATTCAATACAAAGATATCCTGTAATCTAAATTGTATTTTATTTATGAAGGTACAAGATTTAAAATTCATTGCAGTCAATTATTACAGCTGATATATCGTCATTATACTAAAAAATAACTTTCCTGTATATGTAATAGAGTTGAATTTTGCTTATTAAATAAGAAATTTAGCTTGCAGGATAGAAGGCGCCGCGTTTACCGCCGTGGCGCCGGCTGGCCGCCGACACCTCGTGTATTATGAACTAGCCTCGTGACCTGGCGTCGATCAACTACTACTTGACTCAGCAAATGAACCAAGTAAGTTTCCAGGCAATTGGACTTATAAGGAATTGCTTATACATTATGTAACATGAGAAATAATTAAATTGTATCAAGTATGTTTCTAAACGAATAGAATAAAACCGAATAATAAATATCGATCATCAAAGAATTATTTTATAATTTTTATACAAAGTATTTTTATTATGTGACTTTTATTTCAAATAATTTTAACATTAACATAAACATATGGCCATTTATCTCAACTTGTATAAAAATATTAAATCAAAAAGTTAAATGAGCACGCCATGGTATCGCTAAATTGTATAAAGAATAATTAATTTGGTCAAATCAGCGAACATGAGAACGAATGTATCAGTATTATTGGGAAACCTCGGTCGGCACTTGTCTCAAACATTCTACGAACCGTGAAACAAAAACAAGTGTTTAGAGCGAGACGGACATACACTACACTCCTACCGAAGCAAGCATCGATAATTTATGCGAACATCCCTAACAAGAATGCAATGTTTGCAAATATATTAAAATGTACCTTATTATATTAAAAATAAAGCCGAAATCTGCGTAAATGAAAAATAAATAAACGCTGTGGTTGAAACAGGTGTTCGAAGTCAAGATAGTTTTTCATATATCAATGGATTTTAAACTCTATTTCAACTATATAAAATACATAACAGAAATATATCTTATATTCTTATATCGTTTCGTATACGCAATGATATCATTACTCCCAGATGTGCATTCAGTACGCCTCGGTATATTTAAGGCATGAGAATTATGTTGACAATCAACTTAAAAATCGACTCTGAATTAATATTGATTAATAATCGATAACGATGATTAATTGAAGTTACATATTGTTGAATGACACGACATTAAATCCATATCCATACTAATATTATAAGTGTTAAAGTGTGTGTGTGTTTGTTTGTTTTTTTGTTTGTTTGTTTGTAGGTACTTCTTTCACGTCGAAAAGGAATGATGGATTAACGTGATTTTTTGTGTGGAGATAGTTGAGAGGCTCGAGAATAACATAGGCTACTTTTTTAGCGCGGAAGATTATCTCATTCCAACGGGAAAACACGATATGATACAACACAAAAATATGTATTATCAGAATTACTTGAAACTGAGTATTTATACTCTTCAATACAATTAAATAAACACGTGTTTTAGCATTTTTCGAAATTCATCCCATAAGGGTATAAAATAGGGGATGAAAGTTTGTTTGAAACCTACCTACTTTTTTAGAGTTTTAGCGCAAGCAAAGGCGCGGGTTTTGCTAGTATGACATAAATTAACTGTCGAATGCATTAAAATAATTAATTGTAGCTTGTTATTAATACTTCAAGCTTATTGCTATCTCCTCCAAAAAACGAAGATGATATTATTTGCAAGATTCTATTATGTTTGTTTATCACACTGGATTATATAACAGTAAAAATTAAAGTAAC